TATTAGGTGTACCGGTATAAAATGAGCGTTTTTTGGTGAAAATAAAACACTAATTATTAATAGGAAAGTAAAAAACATTTTATTCAAAGTATTGGTCATTGCTTTCTACACATTTTGACCACCTTTCTGGCAATTTGTGGATACCACGCCAAAAAAATTGTTCGTCTTTCAAAGCAAACCAACCAGACACCCAATTTTCGACCTCCTCGTAGGAATCAAAGTGCTGCTCAGCCAATGCGTGTCCCATCGATGAAAACAAAAGGTAGTCGGAAGGAGCCAAGTCTGGTGAATACGGCGGGTGGGGTAGCAGCTCCCAGCCAAGTGTTTTGATTGCATAATACATGAGACCCCTATTTTTCGTATATTTATTTGGTATTTTAATAGTTCATAAGCAGTACCATCAAATACTATTCTCAACAAATTTATAGCTCTCTGATTTCATATTCCAAAATTTAAATTCCACTCATTATTCTTTCTATCATCACCTTTCCTTTCGCTTCTGTCGGGTATAATATCATGGTAAATATAGTTTCGTAAATATAATCATATTATGCCTGACCGACTCCTGGAATTGCGTTATAGCTATTAGTTTCTTGCAGATCCTTTAATTGATATTCCTTCACAATTTATTTGTAAGAAGTTATTTTATGGATTTAAGTCTCATATTGCTGATTTTGATATTTTCCAGCTATAATAAAAAAAAACCAAACATAGCTTGTTATTTACTGAAGGCATTTAAATCGATTATTATGTCGATTATTATGTTATCGATTATTATGGTACGATTATACTTTTTCTTAATTATCTTTTCTTAAATGCATGTTATTATAACCTAATTTTTAGGTAATGAAACACAAAATTATAAAATATAATACTGCATTTTGGCATACATTACATATATTATTGTATTTAATTAAATGAAACTGATATAAAGACAAAGTTATGTTTTTTTGTATTGGAAGGAATAAGCTTCATTTGAATGATATGTCAAGAAGGCAACACTAAAAAATGTAATTTTTTATTTTAGAATACGTAATCTATATTAAGCCTTTTCTGTGGCTCGCAAGTATGGCAAAAAACAGCAAGTTACTAGCCAATACTGGCCAAAATGTACGCAAAAGAGCAATACTATTTCTTATATCTAGGACAGTAGTTGTGTACTGGCCACACAATTCGGCCAGTAAAAAGGCAGTGTTACCAACGCAATAAGCGAACTCTTGTGAACATTTATTGGAAACTCCAACGAATATTGTAATCATGTGTCAAAAATCATATGTAAACAAAAATTCAAACAAAAATTTGAACAAAAATTAAAAATTTCATATATTTGAAAACTGGGAAAAAAGAAAAAATTTCAGTCTTTTATTTCGAAATTTGCAACATTTTTACCATTCCTTTTAATTCTTTATTCATTTTAGTTTTCAATTTATAATAATTATTTATTTTTATACAAAATGTGATTATGAGCACATAATGCAACAGTGATCGCAACAGTGATGCCAATGTCTCGCTTAGCGAATATAGGTCAGCATGCATTTTTTGTCACACTTGCGAGCCACCGAAAACGCCTATTAACGCCTACTTAACTAACACAATTTGACGTCATAATGATGATAGTTATTGATTTCCATACGGAAAAGGTTACATGAAAAGGAAGACATTAAATTATTTAAAATTTAGTTAATTAAAATCATTTCAATATTTAATATATTTTATTAAGGCAAAATATTGCCTTAAGAAAACTGGTTAACGCCCCATGGTACGTAAGAGGAGCGGATATCCACAGAGATCTGAGAATCGATTCAGTCGAAAAATACATTAAAGATCGTGCTCTGAAACTGTTCAATATAATTGACAGTCACAATAATCCAACTGTCAGCATCCTAAAAATACAGCGAAATTTGATAAACACAGGCAGATATAAAGGCATCAGATCCATCATATTATAAAGCCCCGTATTCAGTTATTCTTAGTGTGACTTAAAACTGTCCACAGATAAAATAGAGTAAAGGTACTGCTTCACCAACTCAGACATCTGAATATTAGAATGATAGTTCTTACTAGTTTACTAGTTTCTACCAATTTTTAGTGATATTTGTTTTTATTTTATAAATAGTGAAAACCCATAACCTATAATTTTTATACAAACTCAATAATTATTAGATATAAGTAAAACTTAATACAGCTATAATGAAATTAGTTTGTATTTCGAACGTCCATGAGAGCAGTGAAAATCTCGTTTTTAGACTTGACAGTTGGAACATTACCTAAATTTCGTTTTTATGTCTGAGTAATAAATCCCCGCACTACCAACAACAACAACTGCGACAATTGCAACAATTTTGTTGTCGGTGCAATGCTCATGTCATTGTTGGAAACTTGCGTAAAGAATGTCGTCGACGGATTAGCATTGTTTTGGTGTTGTTACTCATGTCAGGGATGGTATCTTGGTTGTTGTTGTCAGTGGCATTGCAGTTGATGTGCCTTTTCCTTTTTCATTTCGTGCACTTCTGCACTTTTGCCGTTGTTTTGTTTTAAAAATGCATGTGCAAAGTGCAAGTCACAGCTGCGTGCTCACTGCGGACTGCTCACTGCTCACTGCCTGCTGCTCGTGGCTGCTGCATACTGCACATGATTACATATCAGCGGCAGCAGCAGTTGCAGTGCCTGATGCTAACATGTGATTACAAGTCCTGGTGAGGTTGCATTTGAATTGTGCGCGAGATACGAAATTCCTGTTTAACTGTTGTGAACAGGAAGTTCATTCTGCTCATCCTGTTGTGCAGTAATGCGTGCGGAGTGGGAAATGTAGTGAACTTCGTGATTTTATGACGTTGAATTAAAGTTGAAAAAAGCAAAAAAATTGCACTTTCCGGTTTTGGGGCAAATTATTTAATTCAATGAAATTGCTCACAATGTAATACCAGTACATTAGAATCAAAGTTTGTTTGTGAAACAAAATTTTTGGAAGTAGTACAACTCTTGCTGTTGTGGATCTTGGCACATTGCTTAAACAATTTGCTACAAAGTTATCAATTTAAGTCAGACAGCGTGCTTTAGGAATAACATGTTTGCCATAAATTTCTACTAACGATTCTACCAATTTAATTTTCTGTGATAATTTAATCCCTCGCTTAGCTTTACGATATCAATAAAAAAGGCAATTTTTCAGATCAACAAACAGAAAACGTTTTGATTGAATGCCAAACCACTTAACCCAAATCAGGCTAAAATTTGACAAATATCATATCTGACAAATAACCGATATGCATCTTAATGACTTAAGCATGGTGAAGGGGTCTGCAAGGGGCACTACTCGGATGGCAAGGCAAGCAAATATAAAATGATATTTAAAAGTATGTAAGGGAAAATGTGAAAAAATCGTAAAAAATTAGAAGAGATAAAATGAATGAAGCATTAAAAATACAGCCACAAGGATATTGGGTTTTTGGCATGGCGGCAATATTTCTTTCTTAAATAGCAGCAAACGCTAAAGTAGCAATGATATATTTTAATTTCCTTGGCTTTAAGCCAAACAGGAAAAAATTGCAACAATTGTTGCTTATTCGTAAATAAATAAAATATTGTTGTGAGCGCTCAAGCGCAGCTGCAAAATATGCCAACACTAATCAGAAAATAAATAGAGTATGAAAAAAGGATTCAAACGATAGCTGAGTTTTTTTCAGGAACTGAATGTAAAATATTTTTCGCATCAAAATTATAAAGCTTAAATTTTCAACCATCTCATGTTTTTAATTTTAGTGGGGGACTTCACATAATTCAAAATCTAAGTTGTTTTTAATTTGAATTATGTTTTTACTATTTGGCATTCGTTTTAGAATAAGCTTCTAAATTAGCATATGTGTGTCCTTATAGCTTCCATTCCAGTTTCCGGCTGTGAAGAACAGTTAACATTTCATTACGAACTGCTGTTGTAGTTTCATTGTCAACACTTGTGCTTCCGTTGCTTAACATTTTGTACGAAATGATTTCTTGTCTTCATGTTTTCATGTACTTAGCAAATAGTTTTCTTAACTTTCGTCGAGACTGTTGCCAAATAAACAGAATAAAAGTCAAACAATGTGTAAACAACTTGGTCAGACTTTGCATGTAATAAAAGGAAAAATGTGGCAATATTTTGCCTCGCATGAGCGATGTTTTTAGCACTGGCGTACCTTTCAAGCGGAAAGTAAACCATTTACTACTGTTGGGCAAACATTTGACTTAGCTTCTACTAATACCTTCTTTCATGCATTTAACTAAGCCGGATTGTCCTGCTGATATATGCCGTATTCACCAAAATTATTAATTTAACATTCGTTATTTATTTGTGAGCTTTATTTTCATTTCAGCTCTTCTTGCAAAAACCCGACAGAGCATTTGTTTAAAAGTTTTCGCATTCCACTTCCATTTTCCTTTCATAAGTTTTAATTTGCATATCAAAACAAGCCCAAATGCAACCATTTTCTTTATAAGCGATTCCAGTGCTCTCATGGTACTTCGGGGCGTATGAGCAATTTTTAGTGCCTACAAATTTCTTACAAGTTTCTTCTTTTTTTTTCATTTTTACCAGATTTCAATGTCGGCATAGTTTGCTGTGTATTTGGCCATACAGCAGAATTTGTGGTTACTTAATGGAGTTGAGCAAAAATCTGTCTGCGTGGCTGTTCCAGTGCAGCTGTTAAGGCTCGCTAATCATTTTTCCCTTTTTATTTAGCATCCCGCACTCGACTACTTTTTCAGTTTAATTTTTTGCAACTTTTCATTTTTATTGCTTAAGTTAGTGATAAATTTCTGGGTGAGTATCTTTCTAACTGCTTTCCTTAGCATTTACGATTATTAAGTGAGTCGACTGAGTCGAGTGAGTCCTGGGTGAATAGGCACTTGAAGACAAAGTTAG